CCCAGTGCTGCCTCAGGAGGGGCTGGGGTCAGACCTCGCTCTCCCCCTTTCTTCCAACCTCCTGCAGGGGCTCTCTATGGGCTCAATGCAGAGAGCAAGAGAGAATGCTGGCCACCTCCATTCAGGGCAGCTTCTTGGGCGCAGGGCAGAGCGGAGAAGGGCACAGAGTGGATCCGAGCACATTGGCCAGGATGTCCCAAACACACTTTGACTAGGTAATGCGTCATCTTCTTGTGGCCAGCAACCAAGGCTTTGTTTTATCTTCCCTTTCACTGCCCCTGCCACCCCACACTCCATAAAGGCTAGGACCATGTAGATGTTCAGTAAATGTGACCAGCCAGGGTTTGACAGATGAACAGCCTCCAGACTGAACAACATAGATAGGATGCGCTCCGTCCATTCTCCCTCGTCCTCGGCCAGAGGAGTTCCGTTCTGATCGTCAGATTTCCGAACACAGACAGGGCCGCACCCACTAGCAGCCGGGGCCTCTGGGTATTAAAAGACCCCACACATGCACTAGCAACTGTCTGTTTTCACCCCGCAAGCAGCTATATGTTGAATCGGGGTGTTTCTCACAGGGGCAGGTTCTGCTCTTCTGCTTTTCTCTGTTCTCTTCTATTCACACGCATTTTTTGGCATCCGCATTGCTTTGGGCTCGGGCTTGGGCATGGCCCTCTGGAATAAGATTTGAATTTTGGTTTAGGAAGAGGTAGTGGAATTTCATAAGCCTTGAACTATAACCAGTTTACCAACATCCTACATCAAGGAACTGGGAATTAGCCCAGATCCTAATAAATCGGACCCGGGTTTCCTTCCTTCTGTTCCTCCTTCTGGGGCACTGACAGCATTGCACAATTCCTAGGGACATAAATGGCATCCCCTAAAGTTTTGCCACACAGTTGGACCACATCACATATAGGCATTCTTGAGTTTCTTGCTGCCATATCAAGACCTCACCTCCCGCCTAGCACACGGGCATGTTCTCCACTTACTGAACGACCACCGGGCGCTCTCTGCGCCTCCGGCATGGGCGGACGCCCCCTAGTGTCCACATTTCCCACTGCAACTGTGACCGAAGCTGGTGTTAGCAAGTAAAGCACGAGCTTCAGCTTATCGGGGTGAATTTGCCAGGACCTCAAACTAAACCAGGAAAAATTTTGTCCTCTCTGAAAACTGAGAGGCTTTCCTCAGTTCCCAAAGTCTAGAATGCAAGAGGCAGCCATTCTTTGGATGGCATGGGGCAGCGGCCGTCTTAGTACATAGTGTTAGCCTTTTGCATTGGAGACCAGCATTTGGCTGCTAGACCCCCTAACCCTATGTTGTGTATTTTGAACGCTTCCAGGGTCAAGGTAAGACTAGCCTGGGCACTTATGCAGCTTGTCTACAGCCCTCACATCCAAGTTCTCCTCTACAATCTGGTCTCCCTTGTTGTGGCATTGCCTATCAGAGCCCCAGATCCTGTGCAGTGGCATGGATGATAAGAGGTCAGGAAACTTCTTCTGTAAAGGACAAGAAGATAAATATTTTAGGATCTGGAGGCGGTACAGTCTCTGCAAAAGCAACCACAGACGATTTATAAACATAAGAGCGTGGCTGTGTTCCAGTGAAACTTTATTTACAGAGCGGGCTGTGGGCCGTTTTTGGCTCGTGCGTCACAATTCACGCACCCCTGGAAGAGATCAGGGGATGGAGAAAGATGACCCTGACTATACTGGGGACTTAACCTGGGCAGAAATGGAAGAAAATCCCAGTGAAGTTCTTGCAAGCCCACAGCTATGAAGGACAGGAACCTGCTTTGTTAAGCATTGAACTTAAGAATTTTAGCTCTGGAATTTGAAGGAAATCTCAGAAACTCAAGCTGGAAAAGGATCATCTTCTTTAAACTAGCAGAGTGTGACGCTCAACACGGAGGACGAGGAGGAGCAGGGAAGTCAGCACTGAGTCGTGTTCAAGACCACCTGCCATTGTCAAGGTCACTCCAGGCTTGCCACAGAAAGTTCTCCCTACTGCACCTCTGTGCCTTTGTGCCTTCCCACAAATTGACCCACCTGCCTGGACACCACTCTCACGCCCACCCGTGGCTTCATGGAAAAGTTGTTCACAAACCTGTTCAAATATGCAGCCAATGTGTTCTCCCTCAAGCCTTCACTGAGTGTGCCCAGCTGGCTTCCGACATCCAGTATCCATGTTGCGACGCCTGGGAGCTTTTCCGCAAAGCTGGACGGGCCTCTCTGCCAGAGCCAGTCATGCCGGAAGTGCCCAGAGAATTAACATCCCCCAGGAGCCACCATCAGCCAATGACTCACAGGGGCGCAATGCAAATATCCCAGCCTCCTTCCCCCTCCAGTGGGATTGCTGAGTGTGAGCTACACTGTCGCCAGGAGTTTTCTAGTGGTGTTGAGCTCCGGTCACCCCCAGTGGAAGGTACTTCATAATGAACCCTTTGCTGGCATCTTCCCGTTCCTGTCTGACTCCCCTGTTCCCTACTGGAGTTGCCTGCACTTTCCAAATTAAATTCTTTGCTCTCAAATCCTTGCTCAGAATCTGCTCTTGGGGGAAGCCAATCTAAGCAGAATGTGACTTTCTCTGGGTACTTTTCTTCAATTCTCCCTCTGTTTCCTACTGCAGGAGAAAGCACCCATCGTGTTTCATTAAAGTCATTGGCTTCCGGTTGAGTCTCTTCCACTGAACAGCGAGTGAGTTTTCTAGAAGTGGGTCTTATTCATCTTTGCATCACTGGTATTTTCCCTAGTCTGTTGTGCAGTGTTCAAGATGTGTGTTTGCTGGCTACCAGAAGCTTGATGTGTAGGTAGAATAGATGCAAAGGGGCAAGGTGGCGGGGGTCCGTGCTTCACTGCTGACCCCATGTAGCTGCTACTAGCCATGTGTGGCTATTTCAATTAAAATTGAATACAAATTAAAAATCCAGTTCCTCAGTCCAGTAGCCACATTTCAAGGGTTTATGTGGCTAGCGGGGATCCTATTGGACAATACAGGTAGAGAACATTTCTATCCCTGTAGTTAGTTCTATTGGACAGCGTGGGGCTGGAAGGCCAAACGAGCACACTGAATCCATGATTTGGTTATGTGCCATTCTGTGTGGGTCACAAAGCTCCTAAAAGCCTTCAGGCACCTGGGCATATGACCCAGTACCAATATCCAGCACTTGTGCTCACCTAAGGACAGATGCTGCTTCACAAGACAAGAGAAAACCAGTATGTAGAGTTAAGTCTTCAGATGATTGCTTTATTTACATTTTGACTGAACCACAAAAAAGACAAAAGGTACTTCAGGGTTTCCAATGCCCTTATGGCTGGTAGAATGGATACCACATCAGAAGAGCAGCCTAGCTTCTTTTTTAAAATATATAATTCTAAAGTTTTGTTTATGTTTTTAATTGGTAACATGTTCCCATAGTTCAAAAGCCAAAAGGCACAAAAGTATTCAGAGAAAAGTCACACTTGTCCTATCCTCCACCCTTAACCCTCTCTAAAGATAACCAAACGCTACTGTTTTCTTTCCTAACCTTTAAGGGATGGGCAATGCACCCAAGCACAGTGAATAATCTGTGTTTGTCTCTTTTTTATTTATTTTTTTAGCATAGGATACATTCTGTTTTGTCTTTTTTTTTTTTTCAGTCAATTCCATATCGTTCCCTGGACTTTGACTCTTCCTTCAACGCTGTCCCTTGGTTCTTCTAGCACCTCTTTTATTAGCCATTGATCTCTCCTTGCCTCACACGTGCCTTTCTCTTTTAACTAACTCCCTGTATGGTTCTGGGGTCTCTACTCCATCCTGTGTTACCGGATTTATCTTCCTAATGCACCATGGTGATTATTCTTCTCCCCTGCTCTAAACCCTTCAGTAGCTCCCTTTGCCTTCCCAAAAAAGCCCAAGATGCTTGCCTGAATTCCATGGCCCATCCCAACCTGCCCACCCCACCCTCCTATCCACACATGTTCATGCCCTACCTCCTCACCTTTGTACTGGGCATTCCACTGGCTTCATGCGCTTCCCCCGAGTCCCCTCCCTTTCCAAATCCTGCCTTTTTTTTTTTTTTTCCAAAGACCTGCTCAAAAGCCACTTCCTCCATGAAGTCTTCCTCCCTCAGATTCCAGCTACAAATGATCTCTCCCTTCCTGGCCCAGGCAGAGCATTGAGTATGTTTCTCTTTGTTCTGGAGTTACTTGTTTCTGTCTCACACCCCCTACCAGATGGGAGGTTTTACAGGGCAAGGATTATGTTTATCTTACACACTTTGTGCATCCTTCACTTAACTTAAATCAATGTTGGTGCATCCTGTCTGTATCATCTAATACACAGTTGTTGGATGAATGCCGAGCCTGGTGTTTAAGAGGACAGTGTTTGCACATTTCAGGGTTCCAAAAAGTTTCTGCAAGCAAGGCCTTTATTCTCTCTACTGAAAATACCAAATTGCTCTTCTTCCATTGAGATGCTCATACGAAATCTGATCATTTGGTGTAAACAGGAAATCCATTCACTAATAAGCATACTTGGGGGGGGGCACCTGGCTGGCTCAGTCGGTGGAGCATGCAACTCTTGATCTCCGGGTTGTGAGTTCAGGCCCCACGTTGGGTGTGGAGATTACTTAAAAATAAAATCCTTAAAAAAAAAAAAAGAATTCTCGGAACAAGTGTGACATGCCATTATGCTGCTTGGGAGTACATATACACTGGAAAAAAAAAAGTGCCTTTTCATCAAGCAAGGAGAGAGCTAGGCACGTTAAAAGCATTGTGATTGATATATTGTATTTTGTGAAATATGTTTCATTTATGCAATAGCTGGCTGACGTTAAGGTTTAAATTTAAAAGGATTTACCTGTTAGTAGCTGCATGTAGTAACTATCTAACATTCGGGGACATTACAATGTATGTAACTCTTCAGAGAACCAAGCAAAGCTCTGTCTTTCGAGGTCGACAGTAAGTGAACTGACTGGCCAGCGACCCCTGGTAATACCTGGGCCACCCACATATACTGACACCATTGTGTATATATTTTAATGTCTTTAAGAGTTTCAGCATTGAGCTAGAAGTTTAAAGGGCTGTGATTGACGTAATGCGTTTGCTTCATGGGTCCAGCACGTCGGTCTTAAAATACAAATGACAATTCCTGCTCCCCTGTTGATGGGGATACGGAGCTGGCTCTATCTGACTTCTCGCTGGGAAAGAATGGGATGTATTTGCCCAGGTAGGTGGCCACGTGCCTGCGGAAGAAGTGGCAGAGGTGCTTCCGGAACCTCTCCCCTACGAAGGCGTAGATGATGGGGTTGACGCAGCAGTGCGTGTAGGCGATCACCTCCGTCACCTGCATGGCCACGTCCAGCTGTTTGCTCTGCTCACAGCTGGTCTCAAAGAAGATCGTTTGAAAAGCCGTGAGGAAGAGGACCACGTTGTAGGGTGTCCAGAAAATGAAAAAGACCACCATGATGACAAAAATGAGCCGGATGGCCTTGTACTTTTTCTTACTGGGGCATCTCAGCAGGGTTTTAATAATTCCAGAGTAGCAGACAACCATGATGAGCAGAGGCAGAGTGAGACCCAGGATATTCATTCTCAGAGCATGGAAACGCTTCCATCTGTCTTCTTGGTTTTTTGGGTAAATAGGCAAGCAGACAAACTGTTGGACGTCTTCTTGGGACTCATGGAAGATAAATTCAGGGAGGGCTGCTAGCCCTGCCAGGCCCCAGGTGAGAACACTCGTGATGACACCAAAAGTGACAGTCCGGGCTCGAAGGGCAAACACGGCATGGACGATGGCCAGGTACCGGTCTATGGTCAGCAGGCTGATGAAAAAGATCTCACTGTATAAGCCCATGTAATAAAGCCCGGAGAGGAGCTTACACATGGAAGAGCCAAAAACCCATTCATTCCACCAAGCATAGTGAATCCAGAACACCAGGGTGAATAGAAAAAGCAAGTCAGAAATGGCCAAATTGAGCAGGAAGATGTTGGTCATAATCCAGAGCCTCTTGTATTTCGTGAGGATCACCACCACCACCACATTGCCCAGCAGACCAACCACAAACACCAGGGAATACAGCGGAGGCAAGAATTGGGCTCCCAGCTGCTGGATGTTGACTTTTATACATGGCAGTGAATACTCATAGTCGAACACTGTGGTCTCAACGGACTCATCCATGGTCTTCATCACGGCTGTGAAGGCCTCCATTATTTTGTCCCTGTGATAGAAAAACAACACAAACACCAACCACACAATTAGGCACAATCACTCTTGGTGAGCCACACCCATTGATTTATCCTTTTACCCACAAAACCACATGTGCTTAAACAGCCTGGACATTTAAAGTTTCTTCAGCATGTATTTCAAAGGTTATGTCGCAGATGCTGGGGTGGGGAGAGGTGTCAGGAACAAAAGATGTGAAGTTTTGAAAGCGCAATTCACGATGGGAAAAGAAACAGAAATGTGACGGATGGTGGTGAAGAATGGGGATGTTGGTTTCTGCAAGCATTTGAAGGAGGAAGTACAAGGCAGGAAAAGCAGGCTGGGGAATGAGAACAATAATATTATGCTGATTATTATTGCTGTATCTTTCCAGGCATTTTGAATTTTATGTTTCATAGTTTATATACGACTTTCAAAATCAGCTTCCCTATTTAAAAACCAAATGCTTATAATAATAATAATAGTGATCGTTATTATTACAAATAACTTCCCCTCTCTGTGGCCCCTTAACAAGGTTCTGTTCATCATAGCTGATGGGGAAATTGAACCTTGGAGAAATTTAGTAATTTACCCCAAATCCTCTAACAAGTAAATATAAAAGTTCAGGCTAGGTCTTCAGTATCTACGAACAACTTTTTTCTCAGTAGATTCTAATGCAGTGATTTTCAAGTTTAACTTTTGAAGACTTCACCATCATAATTATTATTAACTAGTGTGACACTTACAGTTCTAAGCTGCTGCCCTTTACCAGCTCCTGATAATGTTGAGATAAGCCAGCCCTGTGCCAACAGCAAACCCCTTGGAGTTCTTACTTCATAAAGGGACTGGGGGGAGGGATAGGCCAATGGAATTTCTTCGCAGATTTGATATTTTTTAAACTAGGATCCCTAGGGCCAGTGGCTGCTTTTCTCAAGAATACAGACTTCATTGGAAAAGAAGGAGTTCCACGGAGGACAGTGAATCCCAGCACTGTTTCCTTGGAAGAAGTCCTACTGACTTTCTCCTTTCTCTGAGGAAGGGACAAGTGTGAAGACATGAATATAGGTCAATGGGCATTTCTCAAGGTAAGTCTTAGTAAAGCAATTTTGGAGCCAATGGTAAGACATTATCTTTGATTCTTAATAGAATACTGGGACCCCAGTAGTCAGCACCTGTCAGGGTCTTGTGTGGTCAAAGAGAGAATGGATGTGGGCTGGAGCCGTTCCCAGCCATTCTTCTCACCAGCTGTAGGACTTGGGCAAGAACTTAGCTTTGAGCCTTGTTTACTCATCCCCAAATGAGGATCATGATACCACTTGAAGTTATGTTCAGGATCAAATGAGATTAAAAAAAAAAAACTTTAAAACTGGTAGGAAAAAAACTTTAAAACTGACTGAAAGAAAAGCAACGAGAAGCCATTTCATATAAAATTAGAGAGGAAGTTGGGTCTCTTGGATAGAACTTGATCTATTTCTGTGACTCTGCCCTAGTACATCCCACTGATCAATAACACATCTAGGCTTTTGAGGTGGAAGATGGGACTAAAAACAAGTGATTTGTATGATCTTATCAGCATTTTAATTCCTAATGGCATAATTCACAGTCGCTGAGAAAAAAATGCCCATTATTTTGTCTGTTACATATTCACAATCACAGAAAACATCCCTCTCTAAATTTTAGTGATTAAAGCAAAAAAAAAAAAAAAAAAAAAAAACAGAGCTGCTTGCTCCAGAGAGCAAAAGTATAGTAGCCTCCACTTAATCATTTCATTATCTTTCCTTTTATCTGAGATGGATCTAAAAACAAGTCAAAGTAAAAACAAAACACTAAGGTTTTGTTCGACTTGATGATCATGTCTTTAATTCATGTGTCACTTTCAACATGACCATGATAAAATTATAGAATCTTTTTGGGGACTCTAGAGTGCAACACACAGGGAAACATGCAGGTTCTCTGGCGTCAGAAGCCAAGTCCTTGACTACTAGTTACATGGGTCCAAGATATGAAAACTGAAATGGTTTTCGGTCCAAATCAAAATGAATATTTCAGTCTGAAATAGTCAAGAGGTTTGAATTAGGCTCTTAAAAATGTCTTTTTGCATTTTGGAAATATGGTACAATAAGAGTAAGCAGACAAACAGGCAAACCAATAATAAAGAAAGGCAAAAAACCTAAAAGTAAAAACCACCCCAAATTCCCCCATGCAGTTTACCACTAGTAATGTTTCTCTACAGATATGCATACATGGATACAAGTTTTACCAAGAAAATGAGTTCACACTTTTAGCTGGTCCACTAAAATTGCTCACAGTACAACTCAGCTGTACCACACAATGAAGTTCCTTTAGTCTCCAAAACAATTTAGATCTTACCAACTTTCCACTGGGAAGCAGGAAAAAGGATTCACAAATTTTAGTCCAAAGTTGTTTAATCTTAGCCTGACCCATTCATTTGAAGGATGACTTTAGTTTTGCTCATCCTCTTTACGTTCCTAGCTTCTTAATTTGGGTTTCTTATCTTCTCTCATTGGTCCTTTTTTTTTTAAATAATTTTCTTCTTTATTGATTTTTTTTAATATTTTATTTATTTTACCTCACAGAAAGACACAGTGAGAGAGGGAACACAAGCAGGGAGAGTGGGAGAGGGAGAAGCAGGCTTCCCGCGGAGCAGGGAGCCCGATGCGGGGCTCGATCCCAGGACCCTGGGATCATGACCTGAGCCGAAGGCAGACGCCCAACGACTGAGCCACCCAGGCGCCCCCTCATTGGTCCTTTCTAAGATGGTAGTGGAGATATGAGGGAGGGACTGGCATGGGCAGAGGAGGAAGAGGGTCTCCTGTTGGTCCTATTTATGTGGCTGGTGTCTGCTGAGGAAGGACGACCCAGTCCCAACCCTGAACTTTTGGCTAGCATCTGTTGCTTTGTAGCTAACAGCCTCATGATCAAGTCATTCTTAGTCGTGCCCGGGCATAGTGACCTCTCCAGCTCTGGCTGGAATGGAGGACCCTCTCTGTTCCTGCCACATCATCAGGCTTAGGGCCCAGGCTAAGCATCTTCTCCAGAACTGGCAGGCACCTAGACAGACATACTGCTCCTTGACTCCATGTCCACACCAGGTACAAACTAAGGGACCTTCAAGGGTACAAACTAAATTATTTTTCTGCCTGACCACCAGCTTAACCATGCTGGCCATCCATGAGAATAAGGAAGTGACTTGCAGAGAGACATCCTCTCAGAGGGCCCCCCTCAGTCTATCAAACAGCCCTTCACAGCCCCCAACTCTGGTCAAAGCCTGGGTGGGGAAGATAGGAACCTATATGCGTGACTGCTTCCTTCTGTGACCTCTGGCTCTTCTCTCACAATTCCTGGAGTCAGAAGGAGAGGAGCCCGCCCCCTTCCCCCCAAATCTTCAATTTTTACTGTGTAATATGTAATGGATACCTCTCCATGGGAAAAAGCAGAGTTCTACATTCACCAATTTAAAATTTTAATGAATGTTGCAAGGCTGAATTGAGAATAAACATCTAGAATTAGAAATAATTCTCTCTCTCTTTTTAAGGATTTTATTTATTTATTTGAGAGCGAGAACGAGCAGAGAGGAGGGGCAGAGGGAGAGGGAGAGAGAGAAGCAGACTCCCTGCTGATCAGGAAGCCCGACACGGGGCTCGATTCCAGGACCCTGAGATCATGACCTGAGCCGAAACCCAGAGTCCGACCCTTAGCTGACTGAGCCACCCAGGCACCCCTAGAGATGCTTCTTTAGAAAACAGATTGAAGTTTGGAATGCCATTGTAATCATCAAGAAAAAAAAAAAAAGTAGATGATGCCCCCCCAGTGCTGGCGAGGTTGGAGTGACCCTGGAGCAATTATGCATTCCTGATGCAACATAACTTGGTTCTGTAAGTTTAGGAAATCTCGTACAGAACAAGAACCAATAAGATACACATGGCTTTGATCCAGGGGTTCTATAGAGCAGAGGAATTTACCCTAAGGGGAAGAAATCCACCAAACCAAAACAGGATGTTTATTGTGGCCTCATTTTCATGATGGAAAGAAACAACAAAATGGCAACAGTTTAAATGTTTGACAAGTGAAGGAGACTTTGGATAAATTGTAGTCCACTTATGACAATAGATTATTATGTAGTCATTAATAAAACTAGTTTTGGAGGGGCGCCTGGGTGGCTCAGTCGGTTAAGCATCTGTCTTCGGCTCAGGTCGTGATCCCAGGGTCCTGGGATGGAGCCCCGTGTCAGGCTCTCTGCTCAGCAGGGAGTCTGCTTCTCCCTCCATCTGCCTCTCCCCGCTGCTCATGCTCTCTCACGTGCGTGCTCTCTCTCTCAAATAAATAAAATCTTAAAAAAAAAAAAAAGCTAGTTTTGGAGAGGCACCTGGGTGGCTCAGTCCATTAAGCTTAAGTGGCAGACTCTTGATTTCAGCTCAGGTCATGATTTTAGGGTCCTGAGATTGAGCCCAGTGTTGAGCTCTGTGCTAGGTGTGGAGTCTGCTTAAAATTCCCTCTCTTCCTCTCCCTCTGCTCCACTTTCTCCCTCTCTAAGAAAAAAAAAGGGGGGGCAAATAATGAAAACAGTTGTAGAAAGGAAGTGGATGGTCATGTTTAAAGTTGCAAGATATGGAATTTTTAAATATTTGCTTAGCCATTAAACTGTAATGAAAAGCTAGTGCCTTCTAGCAGGTACTGCTGGAGATTTGGCAAACACATTTTCTAAAGGTAACTGTGTTGAAAATGTGGGCAAATTGCAAGATGAAGAGTTTAGTCATCAGAACCTGAAACCGCAAACAGATCTAAGAAACTCAGAGTGGAAGTCACACTAGGTAGAACATTTGAATTTTGTTTTAAAGATCTTAATGTTTGGTTCTCGTTGATCTTGAGTGGAGTTAACGTAAAACCACCAGACTGGGGGAGGGGAGATTTCTCTTAGAAATTTCTCTTTAGGTCTTGAGACCTGAACTGGCCAGCCTCCACGGAGCAGTGAGAAGCCCTTCAGA